GGGTCTTTCCTTTTGAAAGGAAGGAAAACAAAGGAAAAGTACATTTACAAACATGAAATTCTTACAAGAGTATAGCAATGAAAAATCATTCGATGTCTCTATTGTATATGAGGGAGGCACAAACAAAACACTGTGTGTGAATTTATGAATGGTGTAATAGCATAAAATACTGAATGACCTGTTAATTACAAAATTTCCTAAATTTGTCATTGGCTTAATAGAATGTCTAAAGTTACAAATGAGCCTTTTTACATTTCTTTTCTCTGTCTCTCTCTCTTTTCTACAGTTTGTGTTTTGGCTCACTTTTGCTTATTGCTTTTCTCTTTTGATTCCATCTCCTTACTAGTTATGTCCTTCTTCACCCCAATCCTCAGCACTGATGAAACTGGTGGCCCGGATGCATGTGATGTCTAGAGAAATACATCCTCCAGTCCTTAAACTTCAGCCTGTTATTTCTCTCTCGATTTTGTGGGTCCATTAGATAAGCCACAGAAGAGGTGTTAAGGAAACCAGCAGGGGACAGGCCAGTAGGCAGTGAGCTAAGCACCTTGCAGAATTGGGTAATGTTCAGGCTGATATTATGTGTCAGCATAGAACACTAGCCTTAATTAGCCAAATTTCCTATGCTATTTCTGACATTTTTATTTGCTGATTATACCACCTTAATTCCTGAGGCACTCTGTGTCTTGTCACTAAAACTATGATGATAATAATATCTACAACTGAGTTGTTACAGGGATTAAAGTAATTAGAATAATGCCTAGATGGGGGAAAAGGCTGAAACAATTAAATTTCATGTTTGAGCAATTTGTTCCTATAAACCGTCATGGAGCTGGGTTTGAGCTCAGATATGTTTAAGTACATGCCTTGAGGGCTAAATGTCTCCACTGTCAATGACAATGATCAAATATTCTAAAATTCAGTTAGACCGTTTCAAATCAACTGTGATTCTCTTCACACTCAACAATCTTCTCCTAAATCTTTAAAATCAACTCAGGATCCTTGTAACAGAACATAGAATTTGTAGGAACCAAGAAGGATTTGACCTAAACTAGATAAACTATCATTGTCCAAACTAAAATTGTATCAGGGATATATTGCTTATTTTTTTATTTTGTTTTAACCTATTTGAGTTTGGGGAAATCAGAGATTTGTACCTAAAATTAATTACATATTATTTATAATTGATTATAAAGTTGTATTCTTGCATAAGTAGCTCTTATTATAAAGTAAAAGTCTAAAAATTTATGTAACCTTTTATTGGTAGATTTACACATAAACCTAATGTGAGTCATCCCACCAATCATTACTATATTTTTAGACCAAATAAAACCTCCCTGACTATTATGAACATGAATTACAGTTCATAATAGTCAGGGAGGAAGAACGGACTCAATATCCTAACCATTTAATAAAAATTTTCACCCAAAGTAAAACCACAACACATCCTTCAAAAGTATCTTTTGAATATTTCCCATTTCAATAAAAAGCAACTTCCATTTTCCTATTACAAGGCAAAATTCTGGGTTCATCCTGTCACTTGACTCTCCTGGTATGAGCTTCCCCAGGTGCTGGCTTCCCCTTGTGTGAGCTTCCCCTGGTGTGAGCTTTCCCTGGTGTGAGCTTCCTCTAGTGTGAGCTTCCCCATGTGCCAACTTCCACTGGTGCCAGCTTCTCCTGGAGCAGCCAGTCCTTTTGTGTGAAAACATGCTGAATATGACCTTTCCTGACTCCTCTGCCCCTGCCTGTCTGGAGACTCATTCCTTTGCTTAGATCATTGCAAGAACTCTAGGCTGCCTTCTCTATTCTCTCCTGACTTCATGCCTTCAACCTTAGCTTTGCTCAAAGCCTCCAGTAGTTTCCTCGGCTTGGAATTAAATTGAGTTAATCAATTCATTAATTTTTGTCTATTAATTTCTATTTAGTGGAGCTGAGACTGAATCTGAGGCCTTATGCTGAGTCAGCAAGCCCTGTATGTCACATCTCCTACCAATCCTGCTGGAGCCTTACCTCCTAGGGCAAAGTGCACGGACCTACAGGTCACTGGTCCTCTGCCATCTAATTTCTGTCTCATTTTATTTGCTGATGTTTCCCTTGCTCAGTCTCTCCAGCTAAGTGGCTTCTGGAATAAGCCTTCAGGCCCCTCTTACTGGAGCTGGCTCTTCTAGAACTTTTGTCTACAATGTTCTCCTATGCAAAGTCATGCGGCTACCGGTCTGCCTTGGTATGTTTATGCTACTATAACAGAATACCTCAGACTTGGTAATCAAAAGAGAACAAAAGTTGAAATCTCACTGTTTTGGTTTCTTGTGACTTTGGAGGTTGGGGAGTTTAAGATAAAGGTGCTGGAAGGTTCATTGTTGTGTGGAAGATAAATGTCTCACCTTCCAACATGGCGTCTTGTCACTTCCTCCTCTGGGTGTGGTGGTGAAGGGTGATGACGCCAGGCATGACTGAGGAATGAGAGGTTGTTTCCTCCAGTCTTTCTAATCTCACTCACGAAGGTTCTCATCTGATAACTTACTTAGATCCTAAAAGCTCTATACTGTCACATGGGAGTTTTAGTTCCACAATATTATTTTGGAGGAATACACACATTTAAGCCATATCAAAGACTTTACTCAAAAGCCATATTATCAGTGAGGGCCTTTGAGGATTCTCTATGTCAAATTTCAGCCCCATGTCCTTACTTCTAGGACTTGAAGTCTTGCCCTGCAATTTTCCTCCTTGAACTTTATCTGTGTCACCGTCTAATACAATGCAGTTCATTGATCATTTCCTTCATTGCTCCATGAGACAGGATTATTTTCTGTTTCATTCACCAAGACTTTTCCAATGTCTGTTATAGAGCAGACACTCAAAACATTGTTGTTAACTGTTTCTGAATCTTATTCAGACACAATGAAGACTATAAATTTACTTAATAAAACTGCCTTACATTTATAAATTTGTTGGTTTACAAATATTTTCTATTTTTAAATATGCAAGCCATCCACCCAGTCCTAGTTAATAGTTTTGAAATCAATTCTAATTATCTGGCAGCATAATGGCCAAAGTGAGATATTTATAATTTTCTTTTTATTCTACTCTCTGGAACATTTGATAGTAGCTTTCCACCACAAAAACATTTTTAGATTAAAATTACCTTGCCCCCTGTGGTCATCCGTGGGCACTTGTGACAGACTCCTCGCTGGTGCTGATTGGACACTGGGGGCTCTAACAAACTTTAAATATCAGTGAATGCCCAGGGACTGCTAAGCCCAAAGAAGCTGAGCTTTGCCAAAGGTCAATGATATCAGGTAATCTGTCTCTCACTGCTCCTCATAGGGAACTGCTTTCTATCGACAGTGCTTACTTAAGTTTGCAGTTTCCTCGCTGTACTGGTCTGGTTAACTGAAAATAAGTGCAATTGGGGCTATTCTCAGCTGAGCATAATTGTCTAAATTCAGTGCTATGTTCTATATGATAGTTAGAGTGCTAGACATCATTAACAAAACTCCATAGCTTGGCAGCATATTGGCCTATGGGCTATCATTATTATCAAGATCCATGGTAACTGGCAGCTGTACCGTTTGACAAAGCAGACACAGGAGAAGCCAGCTGTGCTTCTGTTTACAAACACTGCACTGATTCATCTAGCAGCACTGAGCTATTTGATAAATGTGTAGACTGTCCCTATCTACAATACTTAGAAGCCAGAATTCTAGCTTCAATTTAGATGCAGATCATTAGGATCCTTAATATTAAGTTTGAAGACTACAAACTAGGATTTTATGATTTATCTTAGTTGTATTATTTTGCTGAGTTAAAGTTTTTACTATGAAATGCTTAAATGTTGTAGGGACATTTAAATTACTTTCCCACAAAAGTATTTTCTTGCAACAAATCACATTATTATTTTCATATTGGTTGTTCTATGTTTATGTATCAGCAAAATATTTAATGTTCAGCAAGACCAACAGATTGCTGTTCAGAGGTATGCTGGCAATTTTTCAGAATAATGATTCCTTGAGTTAACTGAGCCCACTAGATCCTAGTGAAACATCCATCACACTATACATGTGTGATTCACTCCATAACTAAATGCCAGTGTTCCAAAGATTATTTTATTGAACCTTATATAAAATAGGTCTTCTTTAAGTTGGCTGCTTGTGACGTCTATTAAATTAGATGGAAGAACAGAATCTTAATTGAGGTGGCATAGAGTCTTGGTTAGGAGCACCAGTTCTGTAGCTACTTTGCTAGAAAACCAACCCTAGTTCTGTTCATTAATATTCAGGAATTATGGGACATGTTACATGGCATTTCTGAGTATGCTTCCAGACTATAAAACCGGTAAAGCCACTTAGGTCATAATTTTGTTGTGGGACTCAAAATAAATAAACACATGTAACATTCTTAGAATAATATTTAGCTATATTTATGAATTAATTAATATTTAGCAAATGCTTTGCTTACAGTACAAATTGCTCCAGTGGTTTCTGTCTCTGGCCCCTACATAGTGACTAATTCAGACATATTGCCATGAGTATGAAGATGTTCATGATAAGATCCATTCCTCACCCTTGTATCTGCCATCTTGACACATTTAATGATTCAGTATGAGCTGATATGTTGCCTTACTGTTACTTTTAATTATACAATGATTTAAAGATAATTTTCTAAGAATATAGAAAAAATGCCAGATTTCAAATACAGCAAATAATTATGTCTATAAAATTAGTTTCTATGAATTATCATATTAATTATAGTCAGCAATTTTTGTTTTTACATGATAATAATGAGACATAAAGAATAGATTAAAATATTATGAAAACTACATATGTTTGTATAGATGCTAATTTTATAGGTGTAATTATACATAAGATATGTAATCTATATATTAAAAGGAAATGGACTGCTGGGAGGAAAGACGTTGCATACATGTGTGTTCAAATCTGAAGCTCATGACTGGCATTGCTAAGAGAGGTCTTGTTACTCTTTCAGGGAGACTTGTGAAGATGCAGGCCGTGGCCATGTGTGTTGGACTGCTGCTCTTCAGTGTGACCTGGGCATCACCGGTGAGCATTGACAAATTCATTTACGTGTTGTGTAAACTCTTTCTCGCTCTAGTTTTCAAGCAGTGTTGGTTAAAATGTGAATCATTGAGCTTCTATAGGATGCAAACTATGGTACAGTACCACGTTTTGTTTTCAGGAATCTCTGAGAAAGCTAGTACCCAGCCACAGAGTTCTGAGTCAGCTCAGATTTATGAGTGATAGTCTAAGACTGGAACCAAAATCTATCAAAAGAACCTTGCAATATTTTACCAAACCTTGAAGAATTTAACGTGAATAGGTAAAGATAGATAAATACATTTTGCAAATAACTGGCAGTGGCAGGGAACTAAAATATCTGTGTTTTTCGGCAGTATCTTGGCATAGTGGGAGCCTGCCAAAGATGTTCCCTTCTTTGATGAGGCTAAAATGGACTGATACCCATTAACTTAACCTAAATGAAGCTTCTATTGCCTCACGTATCTTCTTTTTCTGACTCACCCGGATGAGCACTCAGGCTGTGACCAAACGATCCTATGACAAAGTTGAGCACTACAGATTTTCTCTGCGATTCAGACACGGGGCTAATTAGATAACGTCTTTCCAGCATCTGAGCTCTCGGAGTAACTTTCGGAAGTTGAGTAACTACGGAAACAAGTTCTCATTCCACTGCTGACCACGCTTAAATATAGGTCTGGAGCAAGTGGGCGAACAGTTGAGTAACCAGACTGACGGGATAAAGCATCTGGTGAAAGAGCAGAAATTAGGGGATCGCACTACCCGCTTCATGCACAACCCTTACACTGCAGTGAGCGCTGTGCAGACTTAACCAGTCAGTCCCACCCGATCCACATGGGTCACTCAGAACCATACAGGCCTGCACTGAAGCAGGGCGGTGGTCGAGTGGGTCTTGCTGACCTACTTTTAGTCCAACCAACTGAGGCCGAGTTATTTTGAGTCACACATTCCAGGGAACGGCGGGAGTGTCCTTTCTCACCAGCTTCCAGTAAAGTGCTAGGCCAATATCAATCCAGTGACCACTAGTCCAAAGAGGTTGCCAGTTTTCCTCCTCGGGGCAGTCGATGTCATATCCATTACAGGGCCACGGTTAAGTTCAAGGCAACTGCCAAGTGGGTGTCAGAGGAGTAGGGAGGCCTGCAGATTTCAATTTAAAGAGTCTTAGTAGAGGAGCAGGGACAAAACTGGGTGTTATGAATTATAGTATGATCTGTTCTCACAGACATATACATTCCATTTTAATAATTACCTCAATTATTTGGCCATAGATTGTTGGTATAAAAATGAACATATAGTAAATCACGTGCATGTGTCATAATTATAGCTCAAATTAAACAGTCTTAAAGCATGGGAAAATAGAAGGGGAAGATCAAGCAGTGAAATTCAATTAATATCCATTGTATACAATTCAGGGTGGGAGACTTTGATGCAATTCGCAATGGATCAGGAACTACAGTGGGTTAATCTACATCAGCAAGTGTATGTTTTAACACAAACATAAATGTGCATGCTGGCTCTGTAAGAAGACACTCATGCTGCCATATTTGTATGCTACCATATATACCATGTGTATGCTATCATATACAATATATGCTATCATATATACACTATCTTTATACCTAGCCATGTTATTTCTATATTCTTCTTCCTATAGCTAATTTTGGTAGTACTTAAAATGAGATAACAGTTTAAATTTATTTTCACAGAATCATGGAAGAACTAACAATAAGAAATAGATGCAATAAGAAACGATTATAAATACATCTTGAAAATTTGACATAAACTTCAGGAACTTATCTCCATATTAGTAAATATCCTTTCAAATAAGACTACTTTAATTGTTTTCTTTTTTATTAATTTTTATTTAAATTAAAACAATCTTATCTTGCATACCAATCCTAGTTCCCTCTCCCTCCTGTCCACACCAGTCCCCTAGCAATTCCTATCCCACCCTCCCATCCACTCCCAGGGAGAGTGAGCCCTTCCACTGGGGATCATCAAAGTCTGTCACATCATTTGGGGCAGGACCAAGGCCCTCCCTGAATGTATCTAGGTCATAGGGAATGAGCTCCTAAAGTCCATTCGTGCACTAGGGATAAATACTGATCTATTGCCAGAGGCCCCATAGACTGCTCAAACCCCCCAAATGACACCCACGTTCAGGGAACAGGTTGGGTCCCATGCTGGTTCCCCAGATGTCAGACTGGGGCCCATGAGCTCCCATTTGCTCAGGTCAGCTGTTTCTGTGGGTTTCTCCAGCATGATCTTAACCCCTTGCTCATTGCTCCTCCCTCTCTACAACTGGACTCCATGAGTTCGGCTCAGTGTATAGCTGTGGATCTCTTCTGCTTCCATCAGCTACTGGATGAAGGCTCTAGGATGGCATTTAAGGTAGTCATAAATCTCAGATTTAAGGTAGTCATAAATCTCAGATTTTTAGTTGGGGTCATCCTTGTGGATTCCTGGACATTTCCCTAGTGCCGGATTTCTCTTTAAACCCATAATGGCTCCCTCTATTAAGGTATCTCTTTCCTTGCTCTACTTCTCTGTTCTTCCCCAAACTTGAGCTTCCTGATCCTCATGTTCTCCTCCCCCTCCCCTTCTTCCCTCTCTCCTGTGCTCCCAATTTACTCAGATTTGTCCCTTTCCCCTTCTCAGAGGGGGTCCATGTATGTGTTTTTTATTGCTTTAGTCTCAGGATTTTGGAAGAGGAGATGGGGGTGGGACATCTCCCTGCTTCTCCATCACCAACTGTGTTTGTATGGACACCCTCTTTTCTATTGCTTAGGTGAAATTTTTATGCGAAAGTCCTTTGCAAACTGTGAAATTCTCTGCAAATATATTGTGTCCTAGAAATATAAGATGTTACTGACAAAGCAATTGTTTGTTTGTAGAATGAAATGGAATAGTAGCCCAAATAATGGGACACTTTAACTAACCACTTGAGTTTACATTGCTGTGAAGATTTTATCAATTAGAGTGAGCCACATAAACAAATTCCCAAGTCTTTGGGTGTTGTTTAGGAAAAGCAGTCTCTAGGTAAGTAGGACAGGTAGACGAGGTGGTCCTCAGACTGCTTGGGTGACAGGCATCACTGTGCACCTTACACGCAGGGCAAGGAGGGTGACAGGTACTACTGTGCACCTTACACGCAGGGCTGAGGTGGGCGGCAGGCATCACTGTGCACCTTACATGCAGGGCGAGGAGGATGACAGGTACTACTGTACACCCTTACATGCAGGGCTGAGGTGGGTGCTGCGCATCTTCGACACTACTGCATCGTAACACAGCTGCTGACTTACACCATCACCACACATCCTGAACTGGTAGTTGCCTCACTTACACCTAAGTAAAGAAGGCTCCTTTGCCGTGAATTCCACTGGCCATTATTCCCCTACTGGATCACCATGACTGCCTCTCCCAGCCCATGCCATGGGAACACTTCTTCGTGCTGAAATCTGGTTCTGTGGTAGAGATGGCAGTGCCATCTAGTGGGGAGGAAAACGATGTTTTTCTTTCCTAACAAAATATTTAAGGAGAAGTGGGTCCAACCCTCTTTTCAGTCAGAATGATTTTCCACATTAAAATAATCCAGTAAAAGAAAAAAGAAATGAAATAGTTATTGTTTGAAGAAATGAATGAAAGAATGTTCTGTTTCTGAAATGGAGTCCCTTATTTCCTTCCAGAATTTCAACCACAGACCAAAAGCTAGGCAAGGCTACGCAGAAGAACAGAGGGCAAACAGAATTATTCCTCTCAAATAACGATTTTACCTCTGTAAAGAATAAAAGCCAATGAGGGAACATTTTAGCTGCCAAAATGTGCTCAGACTAGAATCACACAGTGTCCAGCAGAATCATGACACATTCTAGTTCATTATAATTCCTACAACAGATGATTGAAAATTCCCACCTATCGATGGCTTCTTTGCCTTCAGATGGAACAATGGTTTACTATACAACCTTCAGAGGGATAGGAAAGAGTTCTGGGACTTTGTTATTAGCAAACACTGTTCCCTGTGCGAGCTGCATATGAGAGCAAACCAAAGAAAGGGGCGGGAGGCCAGTTTTAACAGGCTTCAGCAGAGAACCCGGTTTACTTGGAATTAGTTCTCCACATGCATCAAGAAAGTTAAGCAAATATTATCAGATTTGCATGTTACCAAATTACAGCTCATTTCTAGCATGGGTTTTTCTGACAATCCCAGTTCTATGTTCTGAAACTCTCAGCTGAAAATTACAAAGGTCTGAATGGCAAACTTAAAAACCAGAACATTCATGTGGTGGCATTTGCCAGCTGGACCTTGGCCATGAGCATAGTAAAACCTGTCTTGCTTCTAATGTCCTCTGGAAGTATTTAATCATGTTGAAATTCCACTAAAACATGGTAGCAAGATTGATACACTGTGGTATGGCAAACAGTTGACAGTGGCATGCAAGAAAAATGCATTTCAAGATGTATACAAAGGAGAGCCCACGTTGTCTTGTAGGGAGGCCAACACTCGCCCTCCTGTGGTTATAAGAGGTACTACTAATTGTCAGAAGAAAAATTAGACTTCTCTCAAGTAAATGATATCCTATAGCATGAGGAAGAAATCCAGAAAACTTCTTAAGAGACAAAAACCTCTTAATATTGAGTTGTAGGTTTTTGCATCATATGAAAAATATGTCTACTTTGAAAGCAGCATAAAGGTGAGTAGCTAAGTGAAGACCCCTCACATGTGACGGTCTGGTCTTGCAAGGGACAAAGTGCTCTGCCATTTCCAGCCTTGGATGTTGTCCTTCTTCCCTCCCCCACACTCCCCAGGTTTGGAAGTCATTGTGCTATGCAACTCTGCCTTCCACTATCCTCCTTACTCCCATCCTATGTTTTGGCCTAACCCATGCTCTGATTTAGGACCTGCTTCTGCAAGTGTGGCCTTGGTAGACCTCAGGAGCCTGGAATTGCCATTTTGCTGTGCCTTGATAGCGCTTATTCTCACGAGGAGAATATACTGGAACAGTGTAGACTTCCAGGGGAAGGAAGTTACTATGACAGGCTGTCCTGTACTCAACAGTGACACACATCTCTGTATCTTAAAATCACCCCACAGATGACTTCATCCATGTCCAGTCTCATCAAAGAGGAAGATGAGGCCCTTGTCACTGGGATAACAATAATTGTTTCACTCAGTGCGCTCTTGCAGAATCATTGCCCAAAGAACTACAGCTTTTAATGCCTCCAACTAAACAGCTATTTATTTTCCTAAGTCTGGCTTCATTTCCCCCGGAAGTGAGAATTCCCATGTAGCATTTTGTCTTACTTGACTGTATATTCTTCATATGGCCATCTCTAAGGCTGTATTGATCTGTCTTCCTGTTGAAGTTAATTAATTTTTGTTCTAGTTGGAATATCTATTTGGTGCTTCCTGCTGTATGAGATACAACACCAACAGAAACAACTGAAGAAATGAAATCAACCTCTCTCTCAGAACTTAAGAGAAGAGACACTGAGAACCCAAAACAGGTTGTGGAAAGCCATGTGAGTGGCCCCAAGAGGAAAAACATTCCTTAGGGGCTGGGAATAGAGAGAAGCCAGTTCTGGGCTGGTGTTCAGGAAAAGCTATGCAAAGGAAACTGTGAGCCAGGTTGTGGCAGAGCAATAAGGTTTGAGAGGACAGACGGGAGTGGGCAGGCTGTTCTCCAATGAAAGAATGGCATGAAGTAAGGCCCGGAAGGAAGGAGAGGACAGACAGACAGCTGACTCATTCCTGTCACAAACTCAGAACACACAAAGAACAAAAAGCATTTTGTATTTTAAAATATTTTCTCAGACAAATGGTTGACTGTCTTATAACAAAGTTATAATGTCCTCTCTTGCTTTTCTAGAAAAACAGTTTTAGTTACTCTTCTAATTAAAGGCACACCAGTTACTAGTAAGCATGCTACTTTTCTGAAGGAATATGAGGAAAAAGAAAAAAACTAATAAAAACACAAAAAATGGAACAAAATTTCCTCCAAGACTGGCAGGAAAAAAATTAAGAATTTTTAAAATTAAAATTTAATTTAATAAACTGTACTGATTTTTCTAACCCACCTGCTCAGCTTGAAATGTCTCTTCAGAAATGAGTAAATAAACATAAATGCCTAAGGCAAGTTTTCTGGGATGCACTGGCTTAACCTCAGTATTTAGAATGTTTTATATTCAGAAGTAAATCACTACAGATTCTTTGTTCTCATAATAAAACCTTACCTTTTTTCCAAATACGACTGGACCTATAAAAGTTAGTGATAATGGTATCATCATTTCCACATGTAAAATCATTCCAAATTATATCTTCCAATTAAGACAAATGGACACTTTTGGAGACTTCCTACTAACAAGTTCTGCCAGACTAGAGGAGACTTTTACAAACTATTCTCACCTGCAGTTCAAGTGTGTGCTTATTTAATGGTCTCACAATCCAAACACTTAATAAGATACATTTTAAAGCAAGCAGAGGCAGAGGTCACAGCAAGATGATTCAGATGTGACCATCAAACCACACAACCTGAATGCTAACTCTCACAACTTATTCTCAAACATCCACATATACATGGAATTAACACATGCAGACATTCCCTGTCCCTTAACACACACACACACACACACTGTATTCTTAATTAGAGATTGATGTCAAAACTCTATTCTATTTTAGACAATATGTGATCAGTGACCTCAAGTTTGCAGAACCCACAGCCAAAGAGTGATGACATTTATAATGCAGGAGGAGTGAAAAAGAGTCTACAGTTAATTGCCACCACATAAAATGTAAAGATATAAGAGGACAGTTGTTCATCCGATGAGAAAAGACTGCTGTTGCCATTGTGTAGGAAAGCAAGCTACCCTTGCTTTAAGGGCACCATACATCCCCATATGAATGACAGAGAGTGTCATTGATATAGATCCTGGTGGATGACACACTATGATAGATGCCTTGCTTGCATTGTATCATTTAACAAAATTCTTTTTAAAAAATCCTGAAAAGTATGTGTTTTCTTATTTTGTAGTAAGAAGTCTGATGCCTCCCAGATCACATGTCTCCCTAGGTCACATGCCTCCACAGCTCTCCCAGCCCTAATGGGAATGACAGCCGATGTGATACTTGAGCCCTTTTGTAGCACAGTTACTTTAGTGAGCACCAGAGTGAGAGATCTGAAAGCCTTTGGGGGCTGGAGAGATGTTTCAGCAGTTAGGAACACTTACCGCTCTCCCACAGGATCAGAGTTTGTCTTCCCACACTCACACGGGAGCTCACAGCCATCTATAACTCCACTTTCAAGAGATCTGATGATCTCTCTTCTGTGGGCATCAGACACACACACGGTGCAGACTCATATACAGGCAAAACATTCACACACATTAAAAACAGTAAGATTCCAAGCATTTGGCCATTCTATCTGTCATCTCATTTGATGCAGCTCAGCATGGCACTTGCGTGCCTGAACTCCTTTGGCTTCTGTGGGCATCAGGCACACACACGGAGCATAGACTCATATACAGGCAAAACATTCATACACATCTCATTTGATGCAGCTCATCATGGCACTTGCGTGCCTGAACTCCTTTGGCGTCTTTATGGTCTTCCTTACACTTCAGAGAGATGTAAGCTTCTAGCTGACTTTCCTTTCTCCATATGGGCGCTTCCATCTATTCATATCCTTAATTATCATAACCAACACGCTAGCATGCTCAAGAAAAGCTAACACACTGAAGTGTGTTCAAAAATACATCGATTCTGCCACCTAGTTTTAAAATATTCTCTCCATTTTGCTCCTGAATATTTGCACCTAACCTAGCCATCAAATCTACCTCATTCTTCTTTTCCCATGAAACCTGCTTTGCTCCATTCCATCCTCGTTGACTTGTAGGCTTTTCATTAAATGTATTATAGATTTTAAACACTTTTCTATCGATTATCAGATTTTAAAATTTTAACATGAACAATAATCACTTTGTGCTGTTTTTCCACGTTAGCAAAAAGAAAAAAGCAGAGATAATGTTGCTCTTCACCAGTTTCACAAAAGTAGAAATCACGAGTCAACACCTAAAAAAAATCATTAGACAGAAAAAAAGAGAAAGGCTTGTCTCCTTTTGAAGTCAATGAAAATAATGAAAGCAGTAAAACCTGAATCTTTTCACAGATGCCGAATGAAGAGGACAGCACTATCAACAGAGGCAGTGCCCACGCGCATTTAACAGCATCTGTGTATCCTGAGCCCTCAGGGGACAAAGGAGCAGAGAATGTAGAGGATACCCTCCTTAAACTACCTGCCCAGGAGAGGCATGGTGCCGTTCTCGCCGCAAGTAACATTCAGCCTATAAAGAGACTGGTGACTGGGATTGAACTATCGGGGGACAAAAACAAAGAGAAGAAACCCAAGAGTATTCCAGGCATGATTCCAGCAGATGTCAGTGATGTTACAGACCACTTAAAAGACGCAAAGAGTCAAGAGAGGTATCTACCATCCCAGAACAGCCCAGCAAAAAGCAAAGGTACCCATCAGATCCGACGAAGCACTCACTACCTAACACATATCCCCCAAATCAGAAAGATCCCCAGGGACTTTGAAGGCAGTGGTTTCCCAGACACTCGGGTGAGGGGGGATAGCGATGTCCCTTCTTTCAGTGGGGACGGGCAACATTTCATGTATGTTCCAGGCAAAGGAGGTGCTGTTGGGCCTGGTCTAGAAGGCTCAGCTAGACACACGGGCCTCTCGGGCTCTGAGAAAGCTGAGACTGTTAACCCACACACGAGCGGACTGGGTTCTAATGAGATCCCCGAGAGAGAAAGACTTGGCGGTGATGCCATTGCAACCAGAGACAAAATCGCACAACGCGCAGGTGCTGCTAGTGTGAGCCTTGTGGAGGGCAGCAATGACATCACAGGAGGTACTAATTTTAAGGAGCTCCCTGGAGAGGAAGGAAACAGAATTGATGCTGGCAGCCAAAATGCCCATCAAGGGAAAGTAGAATTTCACTATCCACAAGTGCCCTCCAGAGAGAAGCTAAAAGGGGGCAGCAACGATAACTCGGGGAGTGCCAGTTACAATGAGATTCCTAAGCACAGCAAAGGTAGTCCTAGGACTGACACAGAAGACCCCTCTAGGAACCAAGTGACTATGACGGAAAAACAAAGGTTCCCAGGTAAAGGCAAAAGCCAGGGCCCGGTTCTTCCTTCGTACAATCTAGGTAATGAGGTTAAAAGCAGAGGAGATTCCTCTAACGTTCCCAGTCATGAGGGGATTGTAATGACAAACAGCAGAAAAAACCATTATGTACTCCATGGACAAAATAATTCTACGCGGAATAAAGGCGGGGTGTCACAATGGAGAGGAGGCACCTGGCCTTCTCGGAGGCCCCATGCCCACAGGCGCTTCAGCACACACAACAGAAGAAACAGCAGTGAGTCGTCCAGCGGCAGCTCGAGTGAGAGTGACGGCGACTAGTCCCCAGGAATTCAGGAACTTAGACCGGTCTTCTCTGCTCCTGTCCTGGAGGAAGAGAGGAAGCAGCGGGAACTGGGCAAGCCCGCAAACCTGGTCCCCTCCAGGACTTTGTGAGGTTTTAATGGCTCTAAGAAGAATTTCTACTCAAAGTTCTGATGCTCTTTCTAAATAAAAGTTTCCATTAAGAATGTTATCTAGTAGGTAGTATTTGGGTAGGTGACACCTAGAAATGGTCTGTGAATGTCACATGTGCCTTGATGCATTGTTTCCTCCTCAGAATGAAAACAAATGTTTTCTGTGACCATAGTTAAGTGACCTCCAGCTGGCTGCTGGCATTAGTGGAAGGATGAAGAGGTAAGGAGGTTAATCGGCCTCCAGCAGAGAGGTAAGGTGTGTGGAAGGAATCCCCTGGGCAAGACCCAAAGCCTTCCCTGCTCTCACTCTGGGCATCTATTTCCGGGCAGCCGTCTGTGCCCTTCCGTTGGCTGAGCATTTACGATGTCCTTTGTGGCAGGTCTCATTTCTGAAGCAAATCTCATGGTGACCACTTTTGCTAGCTCTGTTTTCATCTAGAGAAGAAAATAGGATGGAGAAAGTGCCATGGGAGACTGAAAAAGAGCTACACAAACGAGAGGGCCAGACAAGGATTCGGTTCACCAGATAGCATGCACTGACCACTCCCAAAGCATTCCCAGCTCCCTCTTTCTCCCCATCTTAGTTTCCTGGCCAAGATGGTCTTGTGGTGCAGGTCTGGAGAGGGGTCCTATGTCTCCTGGTGAGGAAAGGTTTTGTCCTCTGGCAAGAGAGATGCACCCAACTGGTGCTGTTTTTATTTTCTCATGACTTCTCCCTGACTTAGAACAAGCACACTGTCTGGATGTGCAGGACCAGTGTGCTCTTTGTCAAATCTGTGTTTTGATTCCTGGTACTCTTGCTTTTTAAATAAAATATTAATTTTGACCAAGAAAAAAAGCACACTGAAAGTAATCAAGTAGAGAAATTATAACTGCAAATAAACTATAAATAACCCAGTAGCTTTTACACCGGAATGGCCTGAGCACATGGAAACTCTTAGAGATGGTGAGAGAGAACCATAAGTAGATAAGAAAGCAAATGCCGTCTTAGGTCTTTACTTGCAGGGACTCAAAAGGCATTGTCTGTTATCTAGGGGAACAGTTGCACACTTCAGTTCCCTTGTTCCTTGTCCTCATGTGTGAGCACTCATGAACAGCCCTTCAAGGCACTGGTGAGGGGTAGATATCTCTATCTCTATATATCTATATCTATATATCATCTATCTATCTCTCTTCTATTGTCTATCTACCTACTAAACACATACACACACAAGCACACACACATGCACACACATGTCTCTGCTTCTTTATATGTGAAAGGAGGAAGACTTCACCACAACAACGTGCTGTCATGAATGCTCACATGTAGGCCCTCGTGTTTCACAGATGCACAACTGTGGAAGCTCACAGGACCCTCGTGTTTCAGCTGGGCCATCTTCATTCAAACATAAGCAAACATTGGTCTCCAAAACGGACAATTTCAGCCTCTCCAAGCTGCCTTCAGAGAAATGAGAAAAGTAGATGCAGTCTGCCACCTTGTGCCCAAAAAGAAAAACTGTCCATTACTAGCCCTGGAAGCAGTAGGGTCTGTCATTCATTTGTCTGCCTGCAGAGCACTCACTGCAAGCCACTTGCCTGGGTTTCTCTGTTTGCAAATATCTATTTTCCATTTGCTGCCCAATACTCCAGTCCATCAGGGCAGACTACCCAATCCTATTCAGCTTCTTAAGCTTGAACAAAAACTGAACACATTTTACAAAATTCTGTGAAGCCCCCCCAAATGAAAAAATGAACACATTTTACACAATTCTGGGAAGATCAGAAGGAAAGAGATGCTCCTGGGTGTTACTGAATGGATAGTGTAACGAAGGAGAAAGGTGATGAAGAGTAAGGCAGGAAACAGGAGAGGTGGGGGCTTGGGTATTCACAAAACCTTAGCAACAAGTGAGTGGCATCAGGTGAAGCTCCAGGACTCATTGACCAACCAGTGAGTATTGATGAGCTCCCGGTTCAATGGTGGACTTTTAAAAAAATAGAAAGTGACCCCCCTCCCCTCCCCTCCTCTCCTCCCCTCCCCTCCTCTCCTCCCCTCTCCTCTCCTCTCCTCCCCTCTCCTCTCCTCTCCTCCCTTCCCCTCCCCTCCCCTCTCCTCTCCTCTCCTCTCTTCTCCTCTTCTCTTCTTTTAGTTGACACTGAGAAGATACAATGTAGACCCCAAGGGAGTAAGAGCCTGGAACCTTTTCTCCAATAAGATCAGACCACATGGAAATACTCAGATTTATAGAAATGAGTTTATAATTAAGACAGAGCTAGCCAATAAGAAGCCATAACCAGCGGCCAACAGTTTTATAATTAATATAAGTCTTGTGTGTTCATTTGGAGCTGATGCGGCAGTAGTGGGCCCAGACTGGCAGGAAGAGCTCACATTACGAAATGGCGCCAGTAATGTGGGGCACACATTTCCATGTAAACTCGAAAAAAGCTTAAAAAGGGATTTTAGAAACAAAAGGACAGAGACAAGCACAGCTTCTTGGTAACAGCATTTTCTCTGGTAGGCTCTGTTTTGTTAGAGACAAGCAGAAATTTGTGTGGCTCCTTTAAGGGAGTCTTCCTGACTCAGAGTAAGCAGCAAAAACCTGCAAGGCTCTTTTAAGAGGCCCTGCTAACAACTGAATGGTGTGTATGGGCAGCGGGCAGTGACAGTGACTACATCTCCAAGCTAGCAGCATGCTGCTTAATGGCAGCACAGAGCAGGGTGGTGAGCACAGCTCACAGGGTTGGCAGTCAATATACCCCTACCATGTTGGAAAGACTGTGGCTAAAACATCTGTGGCTTTAATTTTAGCAATGTTGTTTAGCAGATAAAAGATAAAGATTTACAGTAAAGGTAGATTCAAATGAAAAACACCCAAAACTCTAAATATTTTACAGTGTAATTAAAAATATATGTAGGCTTGGGAGAGAAAAGGAAAAGGCACATGCTTTTAATGCCAGCACTCAGGTGGCAGAGGCAAGCAGATCTCTGTGATTTCAAGGCCAGCCTGGTGTACAGAGTGAGTTCAAGGGCAGCCAAAGTTACACAGAGAAGCCCTGTCTCAAAAAAGGAAAAAACAAAAAGAAAGAGTAATAGAAAAGCCGTGTAAAGATGGAAAATACACAGAGAGTCTGGATACTGTGTGCTGTTGTATTGTCTTTCAATTGTGCAATTGCTAAGGAAGGAACAACAACTGCTAAAATACACCTGATTATAAATGCTGCTGAATTAATACAGCTTATATATTTTAAATTTGCTTTGACTTCTAAATTTAAATATAAGGACAAGTTATTTGGGAAAAGAGTTTCTGCTGCTGCTTACACAGAAAATGAAAAGATGTGAATTTCTTCCAGACAAATATGGTTTGATGAAGCAAGACCCCCAAAAGCAGTGGCCCAGGTGATACAACATTCAAAACAGCTTGAACAAGGCAGTCATGCAGACCACTAGAGCCAGGATTTCTGGGTCTTCTTAGGATCTCCAAGACAGAGCCCCCAAACAGCAGGAAGCAGTTTGGAGAGAATGACACCCACATTTCCAAAGATTGCTTATGAATGTTTGTTTTCATTTATATGGGGTTGATTATATATAGTTAATGATCACAGTCAATCTCCTTCTAAAGAAAAAAAGGGGGAAATGAATATTTTGTATGGGTATGGATATTCATTTACTGATACAAATTTAAGGTCAATTTTGTGATATGAATATTTCTCCTCTTGTCTGGGTATTATGCCTATACATATCTTTTAAAATGTAATGAATAATTAAGTACACAGATTGTATATAGTCACCTATAATAGTCAAAACTTTCAGTTAGCTTAGTTAGCTTTTCTGGATAATACTTGAAATGGATATTCTTCAAAACTTTCAAAGACCTTCAGAATATGGCATTTAAAATGGTTTAGGGTTTTTCAAGACAGTGAGACTCAATTGCTTCTGAGAACAACAATTATGTCTGAGAGGAAGGTGGGCATGGAAGAAACTCGTTATGGAATTTCCTTTCAATATGGTAAGACTAACCATTTGGGAAAGAAACTGTTCCTGCCTGGACTGTATGAAACTGGACATACAGGATCAACAGGAAAGTGACTGCTGAACTTGTAAAACAAGATGGGACAGTCCTATAGAGTTCCTGCTTCATGGAAGAGTCTGTCAGACATTCTGCAGGACACAGAAAAATGACTGACAAACTGCCAATGCAGGTGGGACATTTTAAAATTTCTTGCTTCACTGAGAAGTCTTCCAGACACACTGTGGCCTATAAGCTGAAGATGGATGCCCCAATGTTACATAGGAACTTTGGGTGACTGTCTAGCAGTGAGATGTCTCTGTCAATTCTATAGTTTATATATTATCCTTCTGTGGTCTTTGATGGAGTTGAAAACATAGTTATAGTTATGATTTTCCTTAGTTATGATGAAAGATAAATTATATATAAGACTTTAGACTCACAAAGATAGGATAGTTGATAGAGTATTTTCTTTAAAGTTTGCTAAGTGTTAATAGACTGCATATTGTAACTATAGTTCTTACTTGATATCTGTTTTGTTATATGTAATTTTAGTATGTTAATGTTAAAGCACTTCTTTTTATTCATACAGAAAAGAGGGGATGATGGGGGAAGTCCTTTTCTCTTATTGGTTAATGAACAAAACACTGATTGGCTAATTGACCAGGCAGGAAGTGACATAGCTGGGAAGATTCAGAATATAAGCAGGAACAAACAGGAAATCACTCTCTTCTCTTCTCTGTGGAGATGCTGAACAGATACAATGTAGACCCCAAGGGAGTAAGAGCCCTGGACTTTTTCTGCGGTAAGATAAGACCATGTGGAAATACTTGGATTTATAGAAATTAAGACAGAATTAGCCAATAAGAAGCCATAACCAATGGTCAACAGTATTCATAACTAAAAAAAAAAATAGAAAGTGGGGAACAACTGGGGAAGACACTCTGGCCTACTCACACACACCAAGTGCATGCACACCCTCACCAATACATGCATGCACTCCACAATCTGGAGCATGTTCATCAGCTTACCCTTGCTATGCAAACGAGCCGTGGGTCTGCTGACATG